CTGGCGGGGCTTTGCCAAGGTGGTGCGTCAGGCTAGGTTGCTTGCGGCCGGGGTGGACCTTTCTGCCATGCACATAGAAAAGGATGTGCGGGGTGGGCAGTTGGTGAATGAAGATGACTTGTCCGAGAGCACAAGTGACCACGCTGCCTCTTAGGCCTTTTCCTTTTGTTTCCATGTACTTAATTTATTTTGCAGTTTTTATGTATGAACTCTCTGTTTATATTGAATAGACTTCGCCTATGTTTGCATTTGAGTTTTTGTTTTTGATCTTGCGTTTGAATGAATTCGACTAGGGGTGACCTTGAATTTTTGGTCATGGTTCGTACTAGACCTTTTTTGCTTTTATAAGGTTCAAACTTGGTGCTAAGGCTTGGCCTTTAAGTTTTTTGAGGCTCAAAGTTGGCCTTAAGGTTCGAACTTGACCTTTATTTTCTCAGAGATTCGAACTCGACCTTTATTTTCTCTGAGGTTCAAACTCGACCTTAAGGTTCAGACTTGACCTTTAACATAATTTGCGCAAAGGTCTGAATGTGACCTTGATTTACGAATCGTGCTAAGGTTCGAATTCGACCTTAGCTTGACATAGATCATTCCAAGGTTCGAATTCGACCTTGGCTTAATATAATCCGTGCCAAGGTTCGAATTTGACCTTGGCTTAATATAATTCATGCCAAGGTCCGAATTCGACCTTGACTCAATATAATTCGTGCCAAGGTTCGAATTCGACCTTGACTTAATATAATTTGTGCCAAGGTTCAAATTCGACCTTGGCTTAATATAATTCGCGCCAAGGTTCGAACTCGACCTTGGCTTAATATAATTCGTGCCAAAGTTTGAATTCGACCTTGGCTTAATATAATTCGTGCCAAGATTCAAATTCGACCTTGGCTTAATGTAAATCGTGTCAAGACAGCATGTAATTGAGGAAATATGAGTAAAGTGAGTCATTTTATTGATGTTGTGGGTGTGCCTCGTTAAAAACCCTCTCAGCCAAAACCCATTTTTCTATTTTTTGGGACAAAAGACTAGGTAGGGAAAAGAGTACAACACCCCCTTTGTACAATTCAGCTGAAGTAAAATTTGAGGTGAGTGGCATTCCAAGTTCTTGGAATGGCCTTGCCACTGAGTTCTTCTATTCGGTATGCTCCATTATCCAAGTTGTCAGCAATTCGGAAAGGACTGTCCCAGTTAGGCACGAGTTTCCCTTTTGATGGGTCTCTTCTTGCCTCTCCTTGTAGTCTCCATACCAGATCTCTGACTCAGAAAGAGTGAGGTCGGACCTTAGTATTCTAGCATCTAGAGGCGCAGAGTTTGCAAGCTTCTTTGATCCGAGCTTCTTCTCAGAGTTCGTCTATTAGGTCGAGGTTGACTGCCATTTCCCGAGTGTCTTGCTCATTGTTGAAGGTATGACGTCGATGAGATGTGTCGCCGACCTCGACTAGGATCATGGCATCGGCTCCGTAGGTCAGCCTGTAGGGCATTTATTGAGTCGTTGATTCAGCGGTGCAATGATACGCCCAGAGAATGCTGGGGAGCTCGTCAACCCATTATCCCTTGGCACTCCCTAGTCACGTTTTGAGTTCTCGAAGTATCACCTTGTTCGCGGCTTCGGCTTGGCCATTGGTTTGGGGGTGTTCTACCGAGGTTGGTAGGTGTTTGATTCCGAGCTCTCGGAGGAAATTCTCGAAGCTTTGCGCAATGAATTGCCTTCCGTTGTCGGTGACGAGAGAGTGTAGGATACCGAACCGGCAAATGATGTTTTTCCAAGTGAATTTTTGTACGTTCTCGACAGTGATCTTGGCGAGCAGGCAAACTTCAATCCACTTGGTGAAGTAGTCGATAGCGACGAGGAGGAACTTTAGTTGTCCTTTCGCAGGGAGATTTCCGGTGGCTGCCGATGTGCATTGCTGAATTGTTAACATTCTTTGCATCGTTGCACGTAGTCTTTACAGTCTAACTTCAGTGTGGGCCAGTAATACCCAGCTCGGATTACTCTGGTCGCCATTGAATGCGCGCCAGAGTGCATGCCGCAGATGCCTCGGTGGATTTCCTCAATAACATAGGTGGCTTGGGCCTTGGTCAAGCATTTTAACAGAGGGGCCGAGATGCTTCTTTTGAAAAGTTCACCTGCCACAATGATAAATTTAGATGACCTTACTCTCAATATTTGAGCTTCATCTTTATCTTCCGGCAACGTCCCTTCTTGCAAATAGTTCCAGATGTTGGTCATCCACTCCTTGTCCACCACGTCATTGACGCTTATAACCTTGGCATCCAGGCTGGGGGAGTTGATGGTCTCTTGGATGATGGTCCGATGCTTCCCAGGGCGCTTTGTGCAACTTGGACAAGAGATCGGCTCTGGCATTCTGCTCTCGGGGAACATGGTGTACTGTGAATTTCTCGAAGGATGCCATCCAGTTGGATGTTTCGTGGTAATACCGTTGCAGCAATGGATCCTTGGTTTGATAAACACCACTGAGCTGCTCCACCATGAGCTTGGAATCACTGTTGCATCTCACCTTCTGTCCAATGTCTCGTGCCAACCTCAATCCTACCAACAACGCTTTATACTCGGCCTGGTTGTTAGTGGTTTTGAACCCAAATTTGAGGGACTCTTCAATTGTAACGTTGAACACACTACAATATTCCTCACAAAATCTTAAGAAATACAGAGGAGAGAGAAAGAGAAATTTTGGGCTCTAAAGAGTTTTGGACAAAATTTTCCCAGTCCTGAAAATAGTGCCCGAGACGTCTATTTATAGATGTCATACACGACCCGTTCCAAAATCGGAACAGCCCGTTCTGAAAATGGACGTTATGTGTTAATTTTGTTACTGGAACGGGCTGTTCTAATTTTAGAACGGGCCGTTCCAACGATGAGAGTTCACTATACACCATGAGCCCCGAGAGCAGAATGTCAGAGCTGACCTCCTATCCAAGCTCGCCAGTACAAAATGCCCCGGGCAACAACGGACCATCATCCAAGAGACTTTGAATTCACCCAGTCTAGACGATAAAGTCGTCAACACCAATGACAATGAAGACCAAGGATGGATGACAAGCATATGGAGCTACTTAAAGGAGGGAACTCTACCCGGGGACAAAGATGAAGCTTGGAAGATGAGGGTAAGGTCATCCAAGTTCGTCATCATAACCCCCTGTTGAAATGCCTAGCAAAATCCCAAGCCGCCTACGTCATCGAGGAGATCCACCGAGGAATATGTGGTATGCACTCCGAGGCACGCTCGATCGCGACCAGGGTGCTCCAGGCTGGGTACTACTGGCCCACACTAAAGTCAGATTGCCAAGATTATGTGCAAAGGTGCAAGGAATTTCAGCAGTTCGGCAACGCACATCGAAAACCACCTAAAGTCCTCCACAAGATGATGTCACCGTGGCCCTTCGCCTAGTGGGGAATGGACATCCTCGGACAATTTCCCCCTGTGAAAGGTCAACTCAAATTCCTCCTGGTGGCAATCGACTACTTCACCAAGTGGATTGAGGCATGCCCACTCGCGAAGATCACTGTCGAGAATGTGCAGAAGTTCACCTGGAAGAGCATTATTTGCAGGTTTGGTATCCCACATTCCCTCGTCACCGATAACGGCAGGCAATTCATCACGCAAAGCTTTGAGAATTTCCTCCAAGAACTCGGAATCAAGCACTTTCCAACCTCGGTGGAACACCCCCAAACCAATGGCCAAGCCAAAGCTGCAAACAAAGTAATACATCGAGAACTCAAGAAGCGACTAGGGAGCGCCAAAGAACAATGGGTTGACGAGCTCCCTAGCATTCTCTGGGCGTACCATTGTACCCCTCAATCAACGACGCAGGAAACACCTTACACTCTGACCTACGGGGCCGGTGCCATGATCCCAGTCGAGGTCGGCGAGACGTCTCATCGGCGTCATACCTTTGACAGTGAACAAAATGCTCAAGAAATGGTAGTCAACCTCGACCTAATTGACAAGCTCAAAGAGGAGGCTCGGATTCACGAAGAGGCTTGCAAACTTCGAGCCTCCAGAAGATACAACACACGAGTCCGACCTTGCTCTTTTCGGGTAGGCGACCTGGTATGGCAGCTACAAGGTGAAGCACGAAGAGACCCATCAGAAGGGAAACTCGCACCTAATTGGGATGGCCCATTTCGAGTTACAGAATACTTAGAAAATGGGGCATACCGACTAGAAGAGCTCAGCGGCAAGACCATCCCGCGAATATGGAATGTCACTCATCTCAAGTTTTACTTCAGCTGAAATGTACAAATGGGTTATGCACTCTTTTCCCGACTCAGTCTTTTGTCCCAAAAAATAGAAAAATGGGTTTTAACTGAGAGGGTTTTTAACGAGGAACACCCACAACATTAATAAAAATGACTCATTCCACACATATTTTCTCAATTTTACGTCGCATGAGCACGAATTATATTATGTTAAGCCAAGGTCGAATTCGAACCTTGGCACGAATTATATTATGTTAAGCCAAGGTCGAATTCAAACCTTGGCACAAATTATATTATGTTAAGCCAAGGTCGAATTCGAACCTTGGCACAAATTATATTGTTTTAAGCCAAGGTCGAATTCGAACCTTGACACGATTCATCTCAAATCAAAGTCACAAGCAAAGGTCAAGTTTGAACCTTCACAGGTCAAGTTTGAGCCTCAAAACGCAAAATACAGGCCAAGTTTCGAGCCTCAAGAATGGGTTAAAACTAAGCCCAAAACCGGACTCGATTCTTAGAATAAATTCAAAGGTCCAACGTGAATCTAGAGACGGATGCGAGTCAAAACAAGGAACGTCAAAAAAGTTCAAAGCAAAAACTCAAACAACAATGAGAAAAGCAATTATATACATAGCAGGTGTCGCCACCCGCCGAAACGGACCTTGGCATTCGC